ACTAGTGCCCATAGGGCTTCATTCTGGGCGAGTTTGAAGAAATTCGATTTTTTCGCTATTTCCAAGTCTAGTTGATATTTAGGCGAAGCTGTTCTTAAGAATTGCGAAGCTAAATTACTAGGATGTGTTTTGACTCTGCCAATTTACAGGGGACGGGAACAGCACGGAAAAGGGCGGGAGGCGGGAGATAAAGGTACGGGAAGCGGGAGGGCAGGGTACGGGAGGCGGGAGGTTCTGACCCCCCTGTCCCCCCTCCCCCCCCCTCCCCTTCCCCCCGCTATCATGAACAACTCTACCCCAATCGGTTTCAATGGACATTCGTCGTGTTCGAACGGTGTTGCTATTTTCTTCACAACCACCACGGCTATATTCACCGCAGCAGCTTTCATAGAAAACATTTTGGTGATCTTCTCAGTTTACAAAACACCGCGCCTTAGGACAAGCACCAACTACTACTTTGTCAACATGACGGTTTCTGATTTTCTTGCAGGTCTTACAACCTGGCCCTTTGTACCTTAAGGACGAGTTCGTAATAAACCCTGGCAGTCAATTAACTACAAGGTCCATTGGTAACTGCAGCGTGCAAAGCAGGATTATGTTTTAGAATAGCGTCCCAAATAGTATTTGTTCTAACCTTGGTACTGATCGCTGTCGATAGATTAGTTGCCACTGTATTTTCCTTGAAAGCGACGCTGATTATACGAAAAGTGAGAACAACATTGCTGTTTGCAACGTGGTTGATGCCAGTAGCACATTGTATCCCTATATTCCTCTACCCGACATGGTCACAATTCGGACATAAAACATTATGCACACTCGAGTGGAACAGTTTGGTGATGACTCTCGTTTTGGGATCTGCCGTGGTAATATTCAACCTTATACCTCCGACTGCAATTATCGTTATCTACTCCCGTATCATGGGGGCCCTAAGAAGGAGAACTCAACCAGATTACACTGCAAGAGGAAGTGACGCGCAACGAAAACGAAACAAGCAGAACGAAAACGTTACGAACATTTTCGAATCTATCATTGTACTTCGCGTATTTCATTTTCTGTTTACCATATGGAATACAGGCAATTCTAGATTTCTCTTTGAATTCTTTTAATCCAAAAGGCAAATGCAGCTTCATTTGAGCATTTTGTTTTTATATATTTCCATCCCTTAATACAGCTGTGAACCCGATCATATTATTTGCATTCAGCACTAATTTTCGTCATGTTGTCCAAAGCCTATGTCCTTTTTCACTCGGTAACTGTCGTTCGTGTTGTCCTACTGCAGTGCACAAAGAAAATTTTTCCCTTCCTTAACTGATAACTTACAAGAGCAGATGCTCGAAGTGAGGTTGAAATAAATAAATAATCTGAATAGTTCATTTCATGACAAAGACAGAAACCCTAGCGAGCGAGAAAAGCGAGTCTTGGTGCCCATCCTTTCATATGAAAATGAGATTTCGTTCACATTGAAATTAAACTCATTTTATATGAATGGTTGTGTGCCGCTCCTCGCTTTGATGGAGAGACTTAGGTCAACTCGGAAATGAGCTCTTGTCTCCCGTTTCATTGAAATGCGGCATTACATGTATCTTAAGAAATGTTCAGAATTATAGGCCTGATTGAGATCTTCATCAGCGCTAAGGTTAGACTGCGAGCAATCTCCTTTCTGCTCGAAAATCTGCCGGGAAGAACACCAGGAAAAGAAGCGAGAAGCGAAGCCGCGAGCCACGAATATCGCAACCGTCAGAAGAAGAGCTGCTCAACCGTTCGAGCAAAGTTATGCACTTGCAAGATGTAGGAGAAAAACTGCAGCACCACGCCCTTATAAAGTTAAAAGAATAAAAGAAAAAAAAACAGCTAAACTACCGATTATTGTAAGTTCCTCTTGACTCGCAATCAATCAGCAATTTGTTTTCCTACGTTGCTTTTCGCGCTGCATGCAATATGACAGAGCGATTGTATATTTCTTATCTTACAAAGAAAATTGTACCATGAAGTGACGCTGGCACTTAGGCCCTGTCCATACTAACCAACTAACCAAACGCTTAGAAGAGGCATAGTTACAGAGAAAGTGACTGACTCCTCTCATTGGTTCTTCCATACCTAAAGACAGACTTCGTGCACGTGTCTACGCAGTAATTGGGTTCTGAATAAACAATTCTGGTGGTAACAATTCAAATGAAGGTCTGGCTTCTTGGGAGGGGGAAAGTTGGGAACTTTTAATCGATTAAAGTTTAGAGTATCAATTAATTTTAATTTTTAAGGTTTGTTAATATACACAGCAAACAACAGTATTGTGCATGTCTGGATTTATGAAAAGAGCGTTAAAAAAATTCTGTTCTGTGTTCTTTTCTATTTTCTTTTCTCTTACGGAGTGATGTGTAGACCTTTGCGAAATGTGAAATCCAAGCGTGTAGTGCGTGTAGGGACTAATTTTTTAAAGTGTGACCCATTTTTCTAAGTGTTGCCTATTTTTCCAAATTTTACCCATTGTTTCAGTTGTGACCCTTTTTTCCAATTCTTAATTCTTTTTTCCAAGTGTGACCCGTTTTTTCAAGTGTGACCCATTTTTTAAGTGTTAACCTTTTTTCCTAATTTGACCTTTTTTTTCCAAATGTGAGCAATTTTTCCATATGTTACCCATTGTTAGTATTGTTCCCAGTGTGACCCATTTTTTCAAGTCTGACTCTTTTTTCCAAGTGTGCCCCGTTTTCCCAAGTGTGTCCCCTTTTTCCGAGTGTGACCCATTTTTTTACAAGTGTGACCCTTTTTTCCAAATGGGCCTCGTTTCTCCAAATATTTCCCATTTTTCGAAGTTGAACACTTTTTTCCAAGTTTGACCAATTTTTCCAAGTGTGACCCATTTTTCCAAGTGTTACTTATTTTTTCAAGTGTGATTCATTTTTCCAAATGTGACTCCTTTTTCCAAGTGTGACTTTTTTTTTCAAATGTGACCCATTTTTCCAAGTGCGACGCATTTTTCCAAGTGTTACCCTTCTTTTCAAGCGTGATATTTTTTTCCAAGTCTGACCCGTTGTTTCAAATGTAAGCTTTTTTTCTAATTGTGACTCTTTTTTTCAAAATTTGACCCGTTTTAAGTGCGACCCACTTTTACAGGTGTGACCCTTTTTTCCAAGTGTAAGCCATTTTTCCAATTGTGACCCATTTTTCGAATCGTGACCATTTTTCCCCAGTGTGTCCCATTTTTACAACTTTGATGCATTTTTACAAGTGTGACCCTTTTTTCAAGTATGACCAGTTTTTACAAGTGTGAATTATATTTTCAAGTGTGACCCTTTTCCCAAGTGTGACCCATTTTTCGAAGTTTAAGGTGGCTGAACACAGTTTTTGATACCTGTGTTTCATTCACCTTTTTCTCTAAAACCCTTGATCCCTCGGTCGTCAAAAATGGCAGCAAGCTAGTRAACAACACAAAKTTTGGTTTTTTGATGGTTAAGCTGACGTATGTGRCGTTGCCATGGCAACATGAATAAATATAAARAGGCCTTTAAAATCGGTTTTGTTTATTTGCAGAAAATCTAGTCATTAGATTTTCTTTATAATTTGCATGCAACAAGCTTGTAACGATTCTCACAAGTTAACACCATTTTGCTAACAATTTAACAGAGAGATCTTTAATTATCCCTTGTTGAAGGTTCACTGTTCACTAGAATTTCCTTCGTCAAAGTTCAATTATTTTCAATAGTCCAGTTACTTATTTCCTAAAGTATTTTCGTGCCAAATTTCGTAAAATTCTAATGAGTGGTTCTCGCGAAATAGGCGTATTTCCGAGAATGCAAATTTTCATTCAATCGCAATTATTGACTTACTACGCATGCGCTGCATTTAACTGGGTTCTTTCGGTAAGAAAGAAAAAGCTGAGAATTGCTGAATTCTTTGCATCGTTACCTTTTCTAACATATCTTTGTAATAAAAGACTAAAGCCATCAATATGCTGCGTTCAATTATAGAGAGAAAAATAGCACAGATACTGCGGGTGTTGAGTAAATAAAATGATCGCTCTATTGACGGCACGTTTGTTTTTTGCAATCCTTGTGTGCGCGCTGAATTACATCAGCAAAAGCGCGCGCGAAACTGTGTTCGGCCACCTCCCAGCCCCCCTCCCAACCCAACCCCCTCCCTGAATGACGAACTGAGTGAAATAATATTTTTGGCGTATGATAGAAGCATTTTGACATTCGTCGAGGAAAATGAAATATTTGCCATTGCGTTTTAAAAAACGAGAGAATTTTTCAGCTGTTGAAGTTTGTGTTGGTAAGAAATGTTTTAATCGACAAAAAGAGCCAGTGAAATGTGTGGGTAAACGACAAATTTAGTTGTTGTGGTAAGTTGGGTTTTCTTTTCTTTTTCTTTTCACGAAAGCCAAACTAAAAGATTTAAGTCGAGATATTACGCGACCGTTTGATTGATTGATTTGATTGATTGTTTTTTATTTGCCCTTTGCATGACTCTTTTCCTGCTTCTTAACGTTAATAGCCGTTCAGCAGGAATAAATTGCTTGTAGAAGAGTCTACTGCTTCCTCATGCAACTGATAACCATTAGCAGTAGTAAAAGATTATTACAGTGCCTTCGACGTTGTTTTCACTGTCGCGCCATCAAAATAAACATCATAATTCGATTAACTTAAGAATCTGGAATATGATAGATGATTGATATATCAACAACTTCGCCAAGATTTTGATCTTTGCGTTTTTCATTCGCGAGTTCGGGTTCTTAGAGAATCTTATATTAGATGAAACTGAAACCTCGGAAGGATAGGTTATTTTTAATTTTGGACAATGACAACCTCTCATGAAAACCTGCACCTGGGACATGGTGATTTGGAAATATAATTTTAAAAATGTGCGTTGAATTTAACGTGCGTTGAAGAAAAACGGTATATTTTACCTTCAAACGCAGCACGCAGCTTTTCCAGGCCCAGGATCTCACAAAGGAACACGGTTTTCCTTTAAATTACTCAAGTGTCCTTTATCTCCAATATTTCCACCATGATTTCGATCAGGGTAAAAAAAATATGGGAATCTGTCCAAATTCCCTCTCACCCGGGTGTGCCAACGAGTCAAACGGCTGGGGTATGCTGGGATATTGATGTTTCTATTTGATCAAAACATGATTTTTTGAACGAAGTTTCGTTTTCAGAATTCTGTTTATCCTGTAGTGATAATATTTGCCTGGCTAAGTTTTAAGATTTGCAAATTGTGGTCCTTTGTGGTTACGATGCCTCCGTGCAACAGACAATTCAATCCTCGGCCAAACATTCGCTGCAATTTTCTGAGCAATCTTTATTTTCCTTCAGATTTCAGTGTATGTTTGTATGCATTAGTTATTAAGAAGTTTGCAAAGTTTAGACACACGGAGTTACTAAGCTGGAGTAAAGCAGACACAAAAAGTAATAATTGCCTTTGAATTACTGGGCAATTTAACTCGTGGTCAAGGGGACATGTTTCTGCGTTGACATGAGGGTGTTTCGCGTTTAATAGACCAATTCGATATATTAAAATTCAGCCTAACACAATAGAATTCAGCACGAGGCTCTGGGGAATAAACCTGACAAACTCTGTAGTTATTTCCCAGAGCCTCGTACTGGGGTCTATTGTTTTAGGCTGAATTTTAATATATCGAAATTGGTCTATTTGTAACTGCTAAAATATAGGCGCAACTAAATATCTATCATCAAGTCTCGTTCCGTAATTTACAGAATGTCACGTGGGATATATTTCGTTAATAGCACTATATAATGAGATCGGTAACGCGCGTGATCGAAGAATCAGAAATCGGTAAAGAACTCATCAAGACATGAGATAGGATTCACGCGGAAATGTTGGTGAGTAACTCTATTTCATCAGCATTTAATTTCAGCCTGTTTCAGTTATGTTCGGTTTTCCATTATTGTACACAGTCAGTTTGTCTTTCTCGTCTCGGGTGCAGAACCACTTACCCGCTGTTACTAATTTAGCTTTATGTAATTGTAATTCCAGTCGATCACATCATTATTAAATCAAGTCTGGCTATCTACACTACTACAGATCTAATTTTTCTTTTTTTTTTTTTTTTTGTTACGATTGCTAACACTTCATGGATTCTTCCTATATTTTCGTTCGAATATTTCTAATTCGAACAAGAAAAGGTTTCAACCCCGTCATTGTTTTTCGATTCGTGGTACAGAATTCTCATTTTCGAGATATTAGGTGCTTTCGAATTTTCTTACATTGGAAACATCATTATGTAGATATTCTGATACGTAGTATCAACCTTGCAGTCTATTGTTTGTCTACATACATTTTTTTTGGCTGACCAGATCTCTTGTAGATCCTACGTTGGCAGCGTTTATCGTATGCGGTCCCTTGCAGTTTCTGGTTTCTCACTTTTTACGCAGCGGGGTCTGGGAACTGCTAATAAAATGGGAAACAGCCAAACAGAAAAGTCGAGATTCGCAACGTAAATAGGAAGCTAGCCTGTGCGGGCAGCAGTCATTGTGAAGGTAATACTTTCCAAAGGATGACATTTCGTTGTTTCAGTTGTTAACGGAACAACTAATAGTTTGCTCCATAAAGAAAAAATTTATATGTGATCTCTATATTTGGCTGCGTGACTAAAACCCGTCATCATTTCTTGTAAAAATTGATCGTAGCGCGAGCGAGAGTTGTGTGAGCCGTGGGCTCGGACACTAACAAAATAAAACGCTAAATACAGCCTGTCACAAACTGCTTGAGTCTCTAAAGTCTACATGCCAGGAGTGTCTTGAATCTGCACAGTGTGGTTTTTAAAAGCAATAGTACAAACCGCCGTCAATTCAACGTTTTATGCCTGTTTTTCTTAGACAAATACACTCTTTTTTTATGTAAGAATGTTGTTTTTCCTGCCGAGGGTGAATGTTCTTTGTCAGTTTCTGCCGATTTTAGGCTGAAAATATATTCCTGTGAATATTCTTAGATTATGACGTATGACATTTCTATTTTCGAATGTATTTGGTGTCTGGATGGTGTTCAAGTAATTTTGGAGCCAGCCTGCAGGCATTAAGGCCTGATATGACGCATATAAAGGCAACGATCATACGGCTAGTGCTTTTTTATTTTGGCTAGTTTTGCCGCTTAGAGAAAGGAATAATTTTATACGGTTTCGTTAAAAGCATACGCAAAATTATGTTCTTTTCAAAATCTCAGCCTCGGGTTTATCTTAAAAATATTCTTAAAATTTCGCAATTTTCAGCTTCGATATTCTTATTAAACGTAATCTTATAAAAAAGAAAGACTGCCGTAGGCCTTGTGTCCGACCGACTTTGGTCACGTGTGCGCGAGGCATCGAACTAATTAATTTTAGCTTGTCTTTCCTCTAATGGCTGTCAAAATTAAATATTTGCTTTTACTCGGAAACGCCTTATTGAAGAAAGAAAATTGTCTTTTCTGTAAACAGCTAGTCACGATCAAGTCCTACGATAAACTGAAGGACTGAACGAGACACACGTCAAGGTAAGTTCCTTTAGTTTATTATTTGAAAATCACCGCCAGAAATCTTCAACTACTGATCCACATTTCTGAGCGACTGAACGGCAAAGGTCGGCTATGGCTTTCTCTATCAGTATTTATACAGGAGCAGTCATAAAGCGAATTGAAACGGCCCGGGGTGCTCGCGAAGTGAGGCAAAAAAAATTGACAACCACAAAGTTAACTTTGCAGCCAAAGTTAAAATTTGTTATGGACTTATTAGAAACGCCACATTTCTTCCGTTTTCTTAAGCTCGGCCAATTAAATCAAAAATTCGATCCGTTCTTTTGATAAGCATGCATTATGAGGCAGATACACGTATTCTATGACCAAGTTTGATACTACGATAGTTTCTACAATTCTCTTAGATGTCATGCCTCACACAAATGAAAAAATTGCGATCCGCAAACTCTGATGGAGATCTGTAGTTTCAAGAGCTGTTCATATAATATATCATCATTCCTTTACCAGTTTTACAAGAGAAGTGATTAAATATGTCATGCATTGAACAGAGGTAAAGTCTTTTTCTTTGAATTATTTCGCAAAATTATTTCAGGACTAGAATAAACAGAGTTAGTTTTCAAGTCTTTAGCAAGAACCGAAATCTGTGGCATGAACCGAAACGCACTTTGTGTNACGAACAATTTACACTAAATTAAAAACTGCTTGCTCAAATAAAACGTTCTCTCATGTAATTTTAATCAAAAACTGGGTGATGAACTTAGAAAACGAATATATTTTTTTAATCTTTTATATTGCGGTTCTCGTTTTTTTTTCCCTGTTGAACAGTCAGGTAATACTTCCTCGTGTCTCATCATAGAAACTTTTCGGAAATCATCGATAATGTTTTTAATTCGGTCTCATGCATAGCCACCCCAATAAAAAATAATTTGTTAAATGTTTACATTTCAAATTGCTCGAGGGCGCCCATCAGGCTTCGTTAGTGGAAAATTCATTATTTTTATGCAAAGACCCCCAGAGTGAACAGTGTTTTGGATCACAGAACGCGATTTCGAAATTAAATGACAATTTTGCGAGTACTAAAAAAATAACAATACCTCATAAAGAAAGTCTTTGTATCCTTAATTCCCCTGCTTGTTACCTCACCTATTAGGCGTCGCATAGATTATTTCATTCCTGTCGTTCGCATCAGGGGGTAACAAATACGACGAGTTTTGTTTTTCAAATCATCGAACTTAATCCCAATGTGCACGATGAACTATTTGTTTGGAACTACAAACAGTCTTAGAGGACGGCTTGTGACATCCTTATAAGAAACTTCGAACAGGTAGGAATTATCAGCTTAAAAGGTTATTAATGAGACTGAAATCGAAGACGTCGCTCGTTAAACAAATATTTTCAGTCAGGCAGAGTTAAAAGAACGACTTGTATATTTGGAACGCAGTGGCTAAACAGGAATATTGTGTTTCTTGTTTACCTGTTTCGCGCTCGATTCACAGAGTTGTTTTACTCAGTTCGACGAGGAAACAAAGTCACTGCAAACTTTCAATAACATTTGAGCAAAATGTTACTTTCGCACTTAGCCAAGCCTGTGTCATATATAGTTAAATCATGTTTTGCTAAGTTGAGGATTTAATAAACAAATTAAGAATGCTTTCGCTGATGAATTTCGCTAAATACAACTGGCGGCAAGCGTATTATGAAACTGATTAGTTTTACAATTTATTATATTGCTGAGCTTCTGTCCAGCGTCTCGTTAAATTCTCTGACGAAGATACATTAGCTAATGTGAAATAATTACGCATTGGGTAGGTATTTAAGACTCTAGAGAAATGAGCTTGTAAATAATGAATGATGACAAAAAATGAAGTACAACAGATTTCCCGTGAAGTTTTAAATGAAAGAAATTGCTAGGCATGTGAACATGCTAATTCAGGGGCAATGAAGCAAATGTCAGTCAATAGCAGTTTGTCATTCTTGGCTTGTCTCACGCGCCATTCAACAATATTAAGAAACAACGAAATTAATTAGGCATTAACAACGAAAAAGAAAAAAAGTGACGCATGCGCAGGCAATGATCTTTTGGGAACACCGAGGATTGTTCTTGTGTGTTTCGCTCATGTGAATTTCAGAGTTTTTTCTCATTACTCAATTCCTCGTGTTTCTTGTCCGGTGAACGAAAATCGGTTAATTTTGATCAAGAGATTGTTATGATCCCGTCACTATTTTTCTAATAGGAACTAAATGTTCCTAAAACTTATTACTATGGTAGCTGAATTGCCTTTATTACAAAGCCCTCGTGTTTTTCGTCCGGCGTACGAAAATAGCTTTATCGTGATCACGTGACTATTTCTCTTATAGGAACTAAATATAGCTGCTTATCGCAGTTAAATAACGTGTTCCGCTTTTCCATAAAACACTGAAAACTACAAGAACAAACTGGCAGCGATTTATTTCCGGAGTGCAGGGTGATCTAGATGTAAACAACCGGTCATTAAGGACAAACGGCGGGGGGCTTATTGCATGTGTTTTCAAAGCCAGAAACTAGCTTTCATGTGCATTCTCTTTTTTCAAGGTATAGATTAATTCCATGTGAATTCAACTAAACCATTATCAATACAGATTACAGTTTTAATGAAGGGTCTAAAAAATGCATCTTTCTCGCACTCTTACTTATTTTATGAACTTAATTACTTACACGTGCGCGTGCTTTCTTGCGTGTTATCTTGCTTACAGTGGAACCCCGTCAATCCGGTCACCAACGGGCCGCAAAACTCTAGCCGCATTAACGGGGTGGCTGTATTAAAGGGGTTCTTTGAATAAGAGGATGATTGACTGAGCTTTTGTTTGGGCCAGAATAAAGTGGCTGTAATAACGAGGTGGCCGTATTAAAGAGGTGTATTAACAAGGTGGCCGTTAGGCGAGGTTCCACTGTAATTTACAAGTAGATTACTTATGGCCCGGGGGGGGAGGGCGGGGACTGGGTACTCCCTTATATGGGATATATAGGTATGTGCGGCCTTGAAGGCTTTGGTTTAATGAGCGGTTTTGGATTCATTAGATTTTGACCATTTTCGTCCGGAATAGGGTTTTTCACATTAGCTTGACATTGGGTATTTTGACAAATTGTCAAAACGACATTGACATTGACAAATTTGTAGACCTTTTCAAATGTTGACGCAAATGTGAGCCATTTCTGATGAGCTGCGGACGAACATTAGAGCCGCGTATTAATTTTAGGGGTCTAAAATCGGTTATCGATTTTTCGCTCAGGTCTGAAATGGGGCATAAAAAATCACACATTTTGGCCTGAAATAGGATACAGGTCTTAACATTCGGGCCACACACCCCCACCAAAAACTTTGGGAAGTACCCTCCGGGACTTATGGTAATGTAAAACAATTCATCTTATTAATTAACCACTTGTTATCTTTTCTTCTCCTCTATTACAAAGCGTCTTTCACTTGGGTTATCACGTTTACGCTGAGCCGGACCTTTTAGCTCATATCAAACAACAGTACCCGTTTCAACTTCAAGTGTGGGCATTATGAACAATTCTACGGTTCAACCGCCGGGTGTCTACAGCCCTGAACCACCTTGCTCCGTCAAGATTTCCACGCTGTTTACAGTACTACTATCCACGGTTAGTCTGGCAGCATTCATTGGAAACCTTCTTGTAATGGCATGCTTTGTAAATACCCAGAACCTTCGAACGAGCACAAACTACTACATCGTCAACATGACGGTGTCAGATCTCCTTTGCGCATGTTTCAACTGGCCACTGTACGCAGCTGAAGGGATGCTGACGACAAGAGTCTTCATCACCGGGCGTGTGGCTACCTTTGTGTGTAAACTAGGAATGTATTTCAGAGGAATATCACAAGTTGTTTCGGTCCTGAGTTTGATCCTGATTGCTGTGGATAGGTACGTCGCCATTGTGTTTCCTTTGAAGATAACGGTGCTTGCGCGAGGAAGAATTCGCGTTTCGCTATTAGTACTGACGTGGATTATCCCAGTTGCTTGTGGCTTTCCTTACTTCCTTTACACGAAAGTTGTCAAAGTGGACGATCAAACCTTCTGTAGGATTGTGTGGGATAAACTGGTACACGCCATCTTCAACTTCACCGGATTTGTAGTGTTTTACTGCGCTCCACTTTTTGCCATGACCATCCTTTATACTCGCATTGTGAAGACTGTCAGAAATCGCCCCAACACTGAAGATAAAACACAAGACCATCTAGCCAACAAGAGACAACAACAGAACCAAAAGATCACGAAAATCTTGATATCCATAGTCGTTGCCTTCTTCATCTGCTGGACTCCACTATGTATTTATCTGGCTCTCAAAATGTTCCATCCAGCGTTATTTGTTCGAGATAAATGCATGGTTATGGTAGCTTTATTTTTTTATCTTTTTCCATCTCTCAGCACGGCAATCAATCCTATCATTCTCTTCCTGTTCAGCACAAATTACCGTCAGGCGTTGAAAAGCTTTAGCCTTCTGTTATGCAACTTTTTCAGGTGTCCTTTTTTCAGGTACACCACTAGGCGCGTTGGGTCGTCGCATTTGGAAGAAGAAGACAATAATTTTGTTATGTCCAGATTTCGCCGTGGAGAAACTCGGAGTACCATTATTTTCGGTAAACTACCGTAGATGAATTGTAGAGTTCCCGATTATTACCCTCCAATCAAAACACAGTCCGAGCTCTTCACGACAAATGCTACCAACATTACCGAGTTAGCTAGAGGTCATTACGTTGTTTTAAATGACCGCGCGTACGGTTTATTTGCGGAACCAGCTAAAAATTATTCAGCCATCAATAACTCTTGCTAAGAGTTGACGTTCGCGTCTTTCATATTATCCATGCATGTATACAGGACTCGATTGCTGAAAAGGTGGTTAAAGACAAATGCCATCTTTAGCGCTAAGTGAGCTACACACTTGGATTTTGTATTACGTAAAGTCCTAAAGAACTCCAAGAGGTAGAGAAGATAGAGAAGAACACTAAAAAAAAAAAAACATTAAGAGAGAGTGGAGGAAAAAAAAAGACTGACATTCTTAAAGTTTTCATCTCATCTACTTTAGTTTAGAAAAAAATAAACCTAAACCTGGGTGAAATCTCTTTAAACCTTTTTCATAAATCCATACACACACACTAGGGTTGTTTGGTTTATATATTAGTTCTAAACACTATACAGTAAATATTATAAATTTTTTTCAGTATACATAAATAAATATACTTTTTTTTTTTTCCATTTAGGTGACTCTAAACTTCAAGCGGACTCTAAACTTCAATCGGAAGTAAAACCGCTTTGCAGCCTCGCTTTCAATCGTTGGTTACTGGAATAACCAAAATCCGGCGCGCGGACTACAAACTTTTCCCCTCCCAAGCCGTGATCGCGTGAAAGACCTTCATTTGAATAATTACCACCGGAGTTGTTTATTCAGAGATTTTTGATTTAGAACCCAACTACTGCGTAGACATGTACCCGAAGTCTGTCTTTAGGTATGGAAGAACCAATTATAGGAAACAGTCACTTTTTCTGTCACTCTAGCCTCTTCTAGGCGTTCAGTTAGTTGAGGCGCAGCGCGAAAAGCGGCAGTGATGAAAACGAGAGAGGAGCCTGGTGCGAGGAACTTTCCTGCGCCGCGCTTCTCCCTGTTTTTTGGCTCATCGATTTGCGCGCTGCGCCCCAACTAACTGAACGCCTGGAAGAGGCTACTGTCACTCAAGTTCTCCCAACTGATCGGAATTATAATAAAGTATGTTGCGAAGATAATATTAAACGACTTAAGGACATACGTTGTCTCGCACTCAATTATTTTATAGCTCTATTAAACAGAAATCCAAGTTCAAACGAAGGAAACATTTTTTTAAAATGATCGTAGACTTGAATAACTTTTACGTGATAAAGCATGTTCAGCAAGGCCACCGTGAAACGACTTAGAGATGGAGAGAACCGACTTAGGACGTCAAACTGCGGAGGTAAACCAAGAAATTTGTAAATCGAACGTTCCTTAACGCTTATTAACGGTTAATAAAGTTCAAACATCGAGTATAAACATAAGTAAATGTAACACCACCATTAAGAGTGTTATGATTGAGGATATAAGGCAGCGTCCACACTGCGCCGCCGAAGAATTTGAAAAAGCAGCTTAATTTCTACGGTTAGGCCTATAACGTCCACACTAACCCGTCAACAAAACGACGCTTTTCGAAAACGCTCTTCAAACCGGAAAAATTTGAAGACGCCAGTTTTTCGTTTTCGTGTGGACAGAAAACATTTTCAAAACGAAGACTTTCGAAAACAATGGCGTCACCATAATCGTGTGATTTCCCTGACCGAGTTTTCCTCAAACGCAAATTCAAAATGACCGCTGATTGTTGCGTTTCGTAATTCCTTCAGTGTAATATGGACGAAAAACATTCGATGCGTTTTCAGAGTGAAACCCCCGCTATCAAATTCCTCTAGCGTAGTGTGAACGGGGCGTAAGTGCCAGCGTCATTTCATGGTACAATTTTCTTTGTAAGATAAGAAAAATACCATTTGCACTGTCATATTGCATGCAGCGCGAAAAGCGACCGAGGAAAACAAAATTGCTGATTGATTGCGAGTCAACTTACAATAATGTTTGTAGTTTGGCTGGTTCTCTTTTGTTAATTTTCCTAGCAGTTTCACGCCTGGATCAGGAATGTGAGGGGATCTGAGGGGAATTATGGCTAGGCAGCTATATCTCTGGTTATATTTGTTTAACCAAGTTGAAATTTTCCCTGATTATACAACTCTGTGTCCTCTCTTACCTTAACTTATTATTTTGAATCTGTCTGATCATGTGACGTGTCACGTGATCAATTTGTTAAAATTTAGTACATCGGCGAATTGGTGGCGAGTTTTACACTTAGTGCTCAATAAACGAGCGTTTTCGATGCAAATTTAAATTATCCACCTTGCTACGTTAGGAATGATCTTCTTTGATTTCAAAAATATAATTGAAAATATCAATGATCAACAGTTGAATTTTCTTGAAAAAATGACCTTTGACCGTATAATATTTTTTCTGCGAAAACTGGAACGGTCATTCCAAGAGTGAGATGATGGACATAATTGACCTGCATCCTAAACGCATTTTGCTGGGTGATCTTGCTACAAAGGGCCACCAATTCGTCAAATATTAGTTATTTTCCGCTGAATGCCAACTGACATGTCACGTGAGTCGTCACACAACTAGTTCCCTCATGGACAACCCTCGAGAAAGAGCCTTGTCACGCGAACCTAATTAAACCTAATTAATATCCTGCTACCAGGCCACGCGGTAACAAAATAACAATAGACGTGCTTTAGCGTGCATCTTGGAATATGATTCACGCGGGAATTAAAGTGCAACTACCTTAACCAAGGCCACCCGACAAAATTTACTACGAATGTAACAAATAAAAATCTCGGCGGTTAACAACAGTTTTCCAACAAATATATCCGAAATGACCACAAAATCTGTTGCCTTTGTAATAAACAGCTTGATTAAATGGATAGGTTATTGAAAAACTATTGCTAACCTCCCGATTTTTATTCGATAAATTTGTGGAAAATTTTGTCAGGTGGCCTTGGTTGGAGCAGTCGCACTGTAGGTTTGGAGGGCACAAAAGAAGTGTTAAATTTGTTCGAGGAGCGCAGGACAACTCTTCTTGAGTTCGTATGGTTTCTTGAGCTTCTTCTCGACTCAGTGAACTCCAATTTTTTTTCCAAACATTATCTGAGAACAATTTGGCGTGACATGTCATTGGCAAAGGATCTTGATGTTTCTATGGCAGCCATGTTTTGACAGGCATGTTTTTCAAATTTTGAATTTGTGACCTTTTTTGAAGCAACCTTTACTTAGTCATCTTTGTCTTGATTGGTTTCAACTATTTTAAAACCATTTGAG